CCATTTTTGTGGGTTTCTCTAAAATACAAAACAAAAATTGTGTGCCGATTTAAATGACTTTCGTAAGTAGTATCATACACTAGACTTTGGCCCAAAAAGGTTTTAAAGCAAGCATAAAAGTTATAATGAAATAATTAAAATACTTGGCTAAGTTCAAATTAATATTCCTCTAATTGTATACTACAAAGAGGAATTTGAGGGACTGACATGAATACATGCAATACAATACAAGTCATCAAATTTTTTGAAGGACAATGCACAAAAATATCTTCCTAAGTTCACATCATTTCGAATTTGTTGCAAGGAGCCTTTCATAATAATGGAACTTCAGTATGCTCAAACACCATTGTTATCATAAAATTCTGCAAGTTAAGTGGTGTAAAGAAGAGCACTGTCCATAAGCCAACTAGCTTATTTTAAGGGAGTCCTCAAGAAAAATTCTGAATTTTTGACAATTTCTGAATAAATTATATATTATATCATTGTGAAATGTACTCATCAGATTTTTTGATATTATTTTCCATCATCTGTGTATGTCAAAACAGCAGTCTCTTGGGTTCCAACTCTCTCTCATTTACTTTATATCTTTTCAATGAATTCATGTAGAAGACTGCTTTTCACTAAATGACAGACAAAACTTGATTCTTTAATATTGTTTGCTCTGCAAAATTTTATCTTCTATGATATTTATGTACCAAGCTTGTTTTATTTACTTGTTACCATTGCAAGGTGAATGATTTCTGAAAAGTGACAGTGATTTACATCATGGGTAAAGATGTTCTACCAGTAAATAATAGTTTCCAACGTTAAAAAGGGTTATTGCAAACATTTTTAAAAGGAGAACAGGATGTATTAAACTTAAAACTTTTTAAAGAATACTACTTTCAGGGCAGAATTAAAATAGTTCTCATTGTTTCAACTAGAGTTAATATTAATAGTAAATATGAGTAAACACACTCTTACACACCAGTGCACAAACAAGTCAAATAAATGCACTCTTAGAATAAAGAATACACAACCTCACAAACCATCACAAATAATCATTTATATGGAGATTATTAGACTGCACAGTAGTCAATCCATTGATATAAATCAATCCATGAAGCAAGAATCTTGATTTGGGGTATTATGAGGCTGTCTGTTTTATAGGATATGAATAGGATTCCATCTATGGATTCTTATTATTGAATTTTTATATCTTATGGTGGGGCTACAGTGTTGCAAATGAAGGTATGCGATTGGTAACCTGTTAATATAATAATTCAAATGTATGTCAGGTATTTCCAAACTTTTTTTTTTTAACAGCCCCTTTTAAGAGAATGTATGGCCATAACATTTCTCCAGTATTATGGAGAGTATTCTCGCATGATAGAGCATCATAAACAACAAAAGTATTATAATTTCTTGAGCTTTCTATACATCCTAATTCCTTAATTCTCAAGAATGAACGATGAATACAAAAAACAAAGAGTGAATTTGAAAATTATTATACATTATGTATTTTCATGTCATAATAGTTAATTAAGTTCATTAACATTTTTTGTAATCAATGGGGCTTTATTATCCTGATCAGGCAACGGCTATTGACCCCCAATCGAACCCTCGATCACCATTTACCCTTTCAAAATTTCATTGACGCCCAGGGTGCCTATTGCGACCCTGTTCGGAACCCTTCATCTAAAATATTGAGATGTAAGAAAGAAAAAACCATGAATTAATTCACAATTCTCTTTATATACATCTGTACTTTTATTTCTCCATTTACAGGTAGCGTCGGGGGAGTGAATAATTACTTTGATAGCAATATTTTAAAAAAATGTTTGTCGCTCGTTTACCAAAGTTAATGTTTCCAATTACTCGAGAGTGAAACTAAGTTTTCAAATGTTAACCTCCATTTGTTGGTACTCATATTCATCAAACGGTTTTAACTGTCCTTTGACGAAAATAAATTAAATCATAAGAAATCAAGTCACATTACAATTTGAAAGAACAGTGCATTAAAACCACTATCTACATGTATCTCACTCGCAACGCTCATACGAGAAACACACACAACTTACGACAATGAGTTGTACAACACACTTTCTCTAATAAACAGGTATTTAACAAATGCACTCACATGGTATACACGGTCGTACTCGTCATACTGCGTGATACTGCGGCTCTAATTGATTTGAAATCACAAACGTTGGTTTGGTGCTGAATTGGCGCAATTCACCGCAAGGTACCAACCAGGTACCAACACAACACACCCAGAACATCTCGGCAAGGCAACAAAGAGAATATATAACCATGAAGTCTGCAAGGAGTATTTTCAAATTGTAGTAAGTCAGAGAGTAGTAAGTTGTGAACACGATTTAGTAAAAGTTGTAAAACCTA